GGTCCTGCCTCAAAGCCATGTACTAGACTTTGTTAACTGCCCATGAGGAGTCTCACCCTTGATGAGTGAAAGACCCTCGACGAGGACCTCTTTTCGGGAGGAGACCTCCCCAATGCCAAGGAACAGGCCGAGACTGCACGGATGCAAATTGCAAGAGGTTTATTGAGTAGACACAGGTACCTGTGGGCAACAAGATCTCTTGGAAGATTTGCGCACCTGCCAACTGGAGGGCTGGCTTTTTATAGGGAAGAGCAAAAAGCAAGTTTACAGAAGCAAAAGTGTGGTTATCGGTCGACCGGAATGAGGCGGGGGCATGAATGGTTTCCTCTCTCAGCATGGGTGTCAGCAAGAAGCAAGTTTACAGAAGCAAAAGCGTGGTTATCAGAATGCGGCGGGGGGCATGAATGGTTTCCTCTCTCAGCATGGATGCCTGGCAACAATCATCCTGTTCCTATCTTATAGTTAACCTGCTTTGTTGACATCCTATCTTATTGACATCTTGCCTTGCAGTCTTCCTATCTCTATCTCCTGCTCTCTCAGGCACATGGGATGTTCTTACCGGAGCAGGCTGGCTGCTGATCCGGAGAATTTTTTTAAAGCAAACAGGACGTTCCCCTGGGAGCATGCTAACTATGGGTTTTGAGGAGGGGGTCTGTAGGGTCTTTCATTTCCCCCTTTTTCTTTTTGTTAATGAGTTAAATCTTTTACTCAAAGCAATTACAGAACCTCGGTATCTTGTTGTGGTAACATGTGGTACTGATGGGTCAGTACTAGGGCCTGAATGACTGACAGCCTGTCTTTTATAAACTGGACCAGGCAGTTTAAGATGCAAGGCCCAAACAGGAGTATCAGAAGGAGGATAATCAAGGGACCCATCAAAGAAGACAATAGAGTTGTAAACGCTTTTGTCTCTGTATTAACCTCTCTCTAAGCTTTGTCATATTGTCTCTCACCAGCCCAGTGTGGTCCGCTTAGAAGCAACATTCCTCTTTGAGTGCCGCACATAACCCTCCCTCTCGCAAAAACAACATGTCTAGCCCCCTCCTGTTTTGTAGGACTACCTCTGAGAGGGAGGTTAATGATTTTTCGAGTGCGTTAACCGATTCTTTCAGTGCCTTGATATCAGTATGCATGGCTGCCTGAAGTTGTCTAAATTGGCTGGTCTCCATAAGAGCGGTGGTCCCTATGCCCACCCCTGCTGCTATTCCCCCCATGGTGATGCCTCCCAGCAATAAGGCCAAAGTTAAGGAGGCTGGTTCTCTCCTAAATCAGGGTCTCCCTTCAAAATGACTATAGATGTATTCAGGATCATGGTATGTAACTTTGGGCCATAATTCATTTAGAACGCAGTAATCAGAGGTTTCACTGAGCACAGCAGCTGAAACGCATGGGGTTAATCCAGTACTGCATGCCCAATAGGTCCCGTTGGAGGCAGCTAGGTAATAGGTTCCTCTGGACACCTTTTGGGTAGAGTTACATAAGGCCTGGTGGGTTTTGGGAATAGTCCCTATGCAAAGTCCCTGTCCAGATACTTTAGACAGGGTCAGCTTATGCTGGGGAATGGAAGTGCAACTGGTGGGTGCATTGAAAACCTGGTGTGGGCTATTTTCTTGTGTCGCCATCCCCAGTCTTAGTAGGGCCCATGTAATAGTTAAAGGGCCCCACGGGTAAGCCTTATCTTTCACGGGTTTTGAGTGCATTGGATTCTCCATGCTGGGGTCGCAGCGGTCTCTGCTTTCTCAGCTGTATGGGTGGCCTTAATGTGTGAGGAGTGGATCCAGGCTGCGATGCCGTCAACCTTCAGTGCTGTTGGAGTGGTCGGAAGGACAGTGTAAGGGCCTTTCCACTGAGGTTCCAAGTTTTTGGTCTGGTGTCTGCGGACCCAAACAGTATCTCCTATCTGGAAGGGATGTGGTACCACCGGCTGGTTCAGTTGGTCTTGGTAAGCAGTGGCGAGTGGCTTCCAGACCTCTCTTTGCACAATCTGTAATGCCTGTAAATGGGCTTCCAGAGAAGAACTGTCAGCAAAATCGGCAATGTTTGAATCAAAGAAATTTATAAATGGGGGAGGAGCTACATATAGGATTTCAAAAGGTGTCAGTCCATGAGGCCCCGGAGTGTTGTGGGCTCTGTACAGGGCCAGTGGTAAGAGGAGCACCCAGTCTCTAGTGCCAGTTGCAAGCGTTAATTTGGATAGTCTCCTTAATTGTTCTATTCATGCGTTCTACCTGCCCTGAACTTTGGGGTCTATACACACAATGTAATTTTCATTTGACCCCTAGGAGTTTGGCCACCAACTGACTTACCTGGGAGACGAAGGAAGGGCCATTATCGGTGCCTAAGACTTGAGGCATTCCGTACCTGGGAAAGATTTCTTCCAAGAGCTTTTTGGTCACCACCTTTGCGGTTTCATGTTTGGTGGGAAAGACTTCCACCCATCCTTCTGCCATCTGGAGTGCCTGGGTCAGAGCGATGAGTTCAGCCCTCTGGGTGGAGGTGCCTGCGGGAAGGGCTTCAAGTATAGTCAGCATCTTGGAGGGGTTGATCCTTCAGGTCCGGCCTGGTCCTGTGTATTTCCACAAGGATCTGGAGGCAGTCATGGTGTTGGGATTCCTCCGGCAGGGGGAGCAAGGTCGCGGGATTAAGAGCGACCACAGGTCCGAAGTGCACCCGGTCTGGAGGCTGTTTGACCAGGGCCTCCACCGCATGGGGCACCAGGATAGTCAATGGCTGGCCCAGAGTCAGTTTACCCGCATCCTTGGTGAGGACTGCAATAGCTGCTACCATTCGCAGACAGGGCGGCCACCCTGAAGCTACTGGGTCGAGTTTCTTTGAGAGGTAAGCTACAGGACGCCTCCAAGGGCCCAGTTTTTGAGTTAGGACCCTTTTAGCCTAACCCTGTTTTTCATCCACGAACAAATCGAAAGACTTGGTAATATCAGGGAGGCCTAGAGCAGGGGAGGCTAACAAGGCTTTCTTAATGTTTTCAAAAGCCTTCTGTTGGTCCTCTCCCCAATCAAACAGTGTTCCTTGTTTAGTTAATGGATACAAGGGTGCAGCCAGCTCTGCAAACCCTGGGATCCAGAGGCGGCAGTATCCCGCTGTTCCCAGGAACTCTCTTAGCTGGCAGGGGTTCCAGGGGGCAGGAATGTTAGTGATAGTTTGTTTGCGCGCCTCGGTCAGCCATCTCTGTCCATCTTTTAATTGATAACCTAGGTAAATGGCTTGCTTCTGGCATATCTGAGCCTTCCTGGCTGATGCCCAATATCCTGCTTGTCCCAATGTCTGTAGGAGGGCCTTTGTACCCTCCTGACATTCTTTCCCCGAAGCAGCCACCAGAAGGAGGTCATCTATGTATTGGAGCAATGTCAGGGCAGGGTACTGAACCCAAAAGTCTGCCAGGTCCCGGTGTAAGGCCTCATCAAAGAGGGTCGGGCTGTTCTTGAACCCCTGGGGGAGCCATGTCCAGGTCAATTGACCCGAAAGTCCAAGATCTGGGTCCTTCCATTCAAAGGTAAAAAGGGACTGTCTCTCCGGATGCAGCTGCAAGCAAAAGAAGGCATCCTTTAAATCTAATACAGTATACCAAACGTGGGATGGCGGCAGAGTGCTCAATAGGTTGTAGGGGTTGGGGACCGTGGGGTGTATGTCCTCCACCCTTTTGTTGGCCTCCCTCAAATCCTGCACTGGCCAGTAGTCCCCAGTCCCCGGTTTCTTTACTGGTAAAAGGGGGGTATTCCATGGTGACCGGCAGGGAGTGAGAATGCCCTGATCCAGCAGTCTTTTTATGTGGGGCCTTATGCCTTGATATGCTTCATGGGACATGGGGTACTGCTTGATTGAAACAGGAGTAGCTGTTGCCTTCAATTGAATGATGAGTGGAGGTTGTTGTATAGCCATCCCCATTCCCCCGGTCTCTGCCCATGCCAATGGAAGGTCATTGAGCCAAGGGGCCATGTCAATTGTCTGTTGCCCCGGGGGCTCGTAAAGTCTATATTCATCCTCCAGCTGGAGGGTCAAAATTTGGAGGGGACCTCTATCTGGGCCGGTTATCTTAGCCCCTGTGTCCTCGAAATGAATTTGGGCCCTTAGCTTGGTGAGGAGGTCTCTACCCAACAAGGAATAGGGACAGTCCAGAACATGCATAAAGGAATGCGTCACCTTACCAGTAGCCAGCTGAACCTTCCGATTAGTTGTCCATCGATATCTCTTGCCACCAGTGGCTCCTCGAACCCAAGCAAATCGTTCGCTGAGTGGCCCTGAAGTCTGAGTCAGGACTGAATGCTGGGCCCTGGTGTCTACTAGGAAGGTGACTGGTTGCCCTCCGACATCAAGAGTTATCCTGGGCTCGGGGTGGGGGGGGGGGCTCCTGGCTCTGAGTTCCCTAATCCTCTAAGGTGAGGAGGGAGGTTTGGGGCCTGGGCTTCCTAGGTCCTTTGTTCCTCCTGGGGCAATCCTTAATCCAGTGTCCTCGTTTTTTACAATAGGCGCATTGGTCTCTGTCCACCTTGGCCCTACGTCGTTCTCCCTTCCTGTCTCCCTCTCTATTCTGTCCCTGAACCATGGTGGCCAACACCCTAGTTAATTCCTTGTTTCTCCTCTTGTCTCTTTCATCCTCCCGATCTTTCTTTCTCTGCCATAATCTTTCCTCTTTTTCTTCTGGAGTCTCTCTCTTATTGAAAATCTTCTCTGCCTCTTTTAGTAAGTCTTGTATAGTATATCCCTGGAGACCCGCAAGCCTCTGCAATTTACTTCTAATATCCGGACTAGACTGCCAGATGAAAGACATGGATACACTTGTAGCTTGCCCTGGATCTTCAGGGTCATAAGGGTATATATCCTATAAGCATCCTTGAGCCTTTCTACGAAGGCTGAGGGCATCTCTTCATTTCCCTGTATTACTTGCTTAACCTGGGCCAAATTGGTGGGGCGGCATGCTGCCCCTCGGAGACCCACGATTAGCAACTGGCGATAGAGGCGTAGGTGTCCCCTACCTGCAGCTGTAGTGAAATCCCAGTCAGGTCGCGTCAGAGGGAAGGCCTCGTCAATTTCGTTAGGCAAAAGGGTTGGGCTCCCGTTGTCACCTGGGACGTTTTTCCGAGCCTCCAAAAAGACTCTTTGCTTTTCCTCCAAGGTCAGCAGGGCTTGCAAGAGTTGCTGGCAATCATCCCAAGTGGGCTGGTGGGTAACTAAAATAGACTCAATCAGGTTATTCAGCGTTATTGGATCTTTGGAGAATGGGGGGTTATGGTGTTTCCAATAGTATAGATCTGAGGCAGAGAATGGCCAGTATTGCTGTCGGCCATTTGGGCCCTCTCTCAAGGGTAGGGCATGAGTAGTGGAATCAGGGGGTGGTTCGCGCCTTTCCCGGAGTCTTCCCGCCATGGGTGAAGGGGCTGGGGAGACTTGTGCAGGCTGTCCACCCAACGGTGCAGTCTCTGGCCCATCCGGACTCTCTGAATCCTCTGGATCTGCATAAGGAGGGGGTTCTTCTGATAGAAGGTCAGTGAGGGGAGAGTCAGGGTTCGGAGGAAGGACGGGAGGGGGCGCAGGTGTAGGTTTCAGAGTTTTTTCTTTGAGAACCTTCTCCTTAAGAATGGTGGGGTATAGGGAAGAAGAGGGTGGGGCAAGGGAAGGTGCAGGAGGAAGAGGCACAAGTGGTTGACTCTCCTGGGGAGGGGGAGCCTTAGGGGCTGTAGGGGTAAGAGGAGGTTGGGGTTTATTAGAGATGTTGTTAGAGATGACAAAGGGCTGGACCCATAGGGGCGGGTCACGTGCCAAACTTTCCCAGGTAACAATGTAGGCACGTTGATCTGGGTGTCCATGTGGTCCTGGGCTGAACACTTTTGCCTTAACCTGGGAAATAATATTGAGATTGAAAGTGCCGTCTCTTGGCCATTCTGATTCAACAGTAGGCCACTTGGACAAACAAAAGATCACCCATTTCTTCTTTCGAACATTGACTGACAGGTTGTCAGCTTGGGCGCGGACGTCAGGCCAGTGGTCTAAAGTAAGGCTCAATGGGGTGGTTAGGGTTTGTCCCATCTTCTCGAAGAGAAGGGAACCAAATATAAAAACAAAAAAACAAAAAACACACACACACAAAGACAGAGACAGAACAGATGCTGACAGAACAGACAGAGACAGAACAGATGCCGACAGAACAGACAGAGACAGAACAGATGCTGACAGAACAGACAGAGACAGAACAGATGCCGACAGAACAGACAGAGACAGAACAGATGCCGACAGAACAGACAGAGACAGAACAGATGCTGACAGAACAGACAGAGACAGAACAGACAGAGACAGAACAGATGCTGACAGAACAGATGCTGACAGAACAGATGCTGACAGAACAGATGCTGACAGAACAGACAGAGACAGAACAGATGCTGACAGAACAGACAGAGACAGAACAGATGCTGACAGAACAGACAGAGACAGAACAGATGCTGACAGAACAGATGCTGACAGAACAGACAGAGACAGAACAGATGCCGACAGAACAGACAGAGACAGAACAGATGCTGACAGAACAGACAGAGACAGAACAGATGCTGACAGAACAGACAGAGACAGAACAGACAGAGACAGAACAGATGCTGACAGAACAGACAGAGACAGAACAGATGCCGACAGAACAGACAGAGACAGAACAGATGCTGACAGAACAGACAGAGACAGAACAGACAGAGACAGAACAGATGCTGACAGAACAGACAGAGACAGAACAGACAGAGACAGAACAGATGCTGACAGAACAGATGCTGACAGAACAGACAGAGACAGAACAGATGCTGACAGAACAGACAGAGACAGAACAGATGCTGACAGAACAGACAGACAGAACAGATGCTGACAGGACAGACAGAGACAGAACAGATGCGCAGCGCAGCAAAACTCAGACGGAGGCTCTGAGGGTCCGGATCCCCCTCCTCCAACTAGGACCACGTATCCTTCGGATACGGGCTGAGCTCCGAAGAATCGGGCTCCAGAAGTCCTTGCGGACTGACTCCGATGTCCGTGGAACGTCTTCCACCGACTGCGGGGGAGAAGTAACAGGCTCGTCAGCCCCCTTCCCTCCGCCAGGTACAGCGCACTCAGACCTGAGTGTACAAAATTCAACAAAGAACACAGTAGACAACTGAACAAAGAACACAAAAGACAACTGACAGAGCTGGCCAGCTTACCTCCCGTTGGTGAGTCGGTGATCCCTGGGTGGGGGGTCTCAATTTCCCGGCCAACGCACCAAATGAAAGACCCTCGGTGAGGACCTCTTTTCCCCAACACCAAGGAACAGGCCGAGACCGCACGGATGCAAATCGCAAGAGGTTTATTGAGTAGACACAGGTACCTGTGGGCAACAAGATCTCTTGGAAGATTTGCGCACCTGCCAACTGGAGGGCGGGCTTTTCATAGGGAAGAGCAAAAACAAGTTTACAGAAGCAAAAGCGTGGTTATCAGAATGCGGCGGGGGGCATGAATGGTTTCCTCTCTCAGCATGGATGCCTGGCAACAATCATCCTGTTCCTATCTTATAGCTAACCTGCTTTGTTGACATCCTATCTTATTGACATCTTGCCTTGCAGTCTTCCTATCTCTATCTCCTGCTCTCTCAGGCACATGGGATGTTCTTACGGGAGCAGGCTGAGGACGTTCCCCCGGGAGCATGCTAACTACGGGTTTTGAGGAGGGGGTCTGTAGGGTCTTTCAATGAGGCATGAATGGGAGTGGGGTAAAGTGAAGGTGGAGGGAAGAAGGGAGGGAGTGGGAACTGAGATTGGTAGGTAAAATAAGAACAGATAGTTTAAAAAAAGCCAGACCCAGAAAAACCAATATCATATTACTCACTCATAAGTGGTTCTTAAACATAAAACAAAGAAAACCAGCCTAGAAACCACAATTTCTGAGAACCTAGACAACAATGAGGACACTAAGAGAGACATAGATGGATCTAATCTACAAGAGAAGTATAAAAAGACAAGATCTCCTGAGTAAATTGGGAACATGGGGACCTTGGGAGAGGGTTGAAGGGGAGTAGAGAGGAAGGGAGGGGAGTAGAAAAAAAAAGTATAGCTCAATAAGATCAATTTAAAAAGCCAAAAGGGAAAAATAATATATAAAAGTAGATTTATTAAAATATCTGTCTTCTCAGTGGAGACTTTAAAATCCAGAAGGGCACCTGGAAAGATATTCTACAAACTTTAAGAGACCACAGATAAGAGCCATACTACTAAAGTTAGCAAACTTACAATCAAAATTAAAAATGATGGAAAAAATAACATTAAATTTAATCAGTATCTATGTACAAATTGAGCCCAGGACCTAGAAGAGAAACCTCAACCTGAAAAAAATTAACTACACCCAAGAAAACACAAGGAATAAATAATACCATACCAATAAACTAACAGAGTAGTAATGTACATGCACACACACACACACACACAAATACACACCATCACCACCACCATCACCACCACCATGACACCAACAAAATAATAGGAATTAACAAAACTGCTCATTGATAACTCTCAACAGCAATTGTTTCTATTCCCAATAAAAAGAGACACAGACTAGAAGAATATGATAGAAGATATGAACAATATCCATACTCTGTGGCATGCATGCAAGAAACACAACTTAACATCAAAGGTAGATATCTCTCTATCATTAAAAATTATGGGAAGCAGTAGGAAAAGATATTCCAAGGAAATGGACCTGAGGAAAGTACTTGAGGCCAGGCATGTGTCAGGGCTATCCTTGAATGCAGACCTAGAGAGGCCATTGTGTGAAGCTGTGAAGTTGAAGTCTGGATTGCCCTGGAGAACCCACAATGTTATAGAAGGCCAGCATCATGGGATACCCATCAAGGGGAGCTGCTGTCAGGGAGCAGAATGAGCCCATTAGAAAGAAGTGTGTAGCAGTCAACAAAGTTGAATGGAGCTGGATCTCTGAAGCTCATTTTGACATCAGACATGGAGACACAGAATTTGGAGTTTGCCCAGTTGGTTTTGGTCTTGCTGAGTTCTTCGTATATTTTTAAATGGGTTTATGATAAATAAAGATCTTTTCCCACTCTATAGCCTTGTTATACAAAAGTTTCTCAATTCAAGAGATATAATTTATTGTTTTTCCTAATGTTTATGCCACTAAGGCTGTGTTTGAGATGTTGCAAAGTGTGCTTCAAAATTTTTCTCTGTGAGGTTCAACATAATTTTTATATGCTGAGGCCTTTGGCTCATTTAAACTTAAGTTTTGTACATGGAGATGGATATGGATCTATTTTCATTCTTCTACATGTTGGTGTCTAATGAGGCCAGCATTATTAATTAAAATGCTTCCTTTTTCCATTTTCCTATCTGCAAGGCAGACTTAAAATTTAAGAGGAGGATAGCTTACACACTTTTGGTTGGATGTCCAATGGTTAAAGCTCTAGTTATAATATTCTTATGGGAGACCTTGAGACGATAGATAAAATTCTTACAAAAAACAATGAACCAGTTTCCAATAGAGAGCTTATCAGAGCTGCCAGACAGGTACTCAAGCAGGTAAAATATAAATCAACAGGTAAAGTATACAATAATCAACAAATACAGTATATTAATTATAATTCAGCTATGGCAAGTGTGTCTTAAATGTAAAACTTATTCTACAACAGTTTTATAAAAAATGCTGCTTATGGCTAAATCTTCCCAGTTTTGCCAGTTAAGATATTAAACTCTTAATTTAAAACAGTAGCCTGTCTGATACAAAAGGGCAGGATAAAAGCTGGAAAATAGTTTGACAAAATATTGACTATGATCAATGCTTCTTATACTAAACAATAGATTCATTGATAATTTTAAGATTGATTCCTGGACAATTGCCTTTGCTCAATTCAAAGGCAAAAACAATAATATTTTCCCAGATGATCATTGCTACAATTCACACAACTGTATTTTGCCAATGTTATAGCAAAAAATCCCTTAAAGGATTTTATGCTAAATTTTACAAATGGCTCTTCCAATGGAAGAACTACATATATGGCTAATAATAATAAAAAAAAATTGTGGAGCGTAACAAGGCTCCTTGAAAGCAACTCATAAAAGTTTCCAACAGATCCTGATGCAAACGGATCTGGCGTGATAACACCAAGCTAACCTTTGCTAAGGCAAGGTGGAAAAGCCCTTGCAATGCATTATGAAAAAACCCGACCTATACATATCTGGGGTCAAGGATATGTTTATGCTTTTTTCACAGAAAGAAAATAAAAGCTGGATCTGACGTGGAGGCTGCAGACGCCCCACAGAGGAGTTCCAGAGGCGACTGGGGAGAGGTTCTTGGTCCAGCCTTTCCTGCCCCCAAGGAGAGGAGTGCCTGATAACAGAACCTGCTATGCCACTCTGCAGGGTGTCATTCTGCCTCCAGAGTCCAAAAGGCTGAGATAAGTGCCAGGATGTGCTTCAGATAGCTGAATCCAATTCACCTCACTCAGGAATACCACCTGCCCTGAAGCACAAATGCTAAACTGCCTCTGCAGTTTGAATTCTGGTTTGCTTTGAAGCTAAGGTGCAGACTAAACATCAGACTGCTGTAATCCTTGGGACACAAAACCCATTTTAATTAAAATACTAACCAGTCTTCACTTAAGAAGGGGAAAGATTGGGGTTCCTGTCACTGTTGCTCAGAGACTGGAACTGGTGGTATTTGATGACAACAATGTATATCATTGTACTCTTATTAGAATTGACCTGATATTTGTAACTGCTTATAGATGTTGGGAAACGTCTGACACATGCTGTAAAGTGTTTGGGTTTAATGCATATGTTAAAAATTTTAGATTTAGACCCCCTTTACTCTGCCCTAATTTTTGGCAGGTAGCACTCATAATCTTATGTTGGAGTAGGCATTTAAGAAGGAGATATAACAAAGGCCAGACTAAAAGGTGAATATTGGGTTTGGAAGGTGCCCTTTCTTCTTGTCTGGAAATGGACTTATTGGTGCCCAAATTATATCATTATATCTTTTGTTTGAGGAGCTCCTCATAGTCTTTTCATTAATGATAGACGCAGGGGCCCAATGACGGGAGTTAGTGCGGACCCTCGCCTGAACAGCACACCATACAGAGGTTGTAGAAACCGGCTCAACATGGCATGGTACCAGGCACGAGGAGTGCCCTCCACATAGCCTAAGACAGGGTGCCTTGTGATCTGCTTACTTTAAATCTCGCTAGATACCTTTTATTTGAGGAGCTCCAAGGATGGGCGACTTGTGGCAGGACATCCCCCAACCTAAGACAGGGTACTGGGAACCCTAGGACGGGTAAGGGGGAAAAAGACCTGGTCCCCACTCAACCTAAGAATCATAAGGCACCCCTCTGTTCCCAGGAGAGGTAAATTGCTTCACCATTCGAGAGGAGTGTCTCTCCTTGTTCCAGTCCCTTCTCCTTTAGATCTGATACCATGGTTGGACTCTGACCTGGTGCCCTCCACTTAATAGCTGCCTGCCTTTATAAAAGAAAGGGGGATCTGTCAGGAGCCGTTTCCTCCTAGGATCATTTCAGGAACCATCACCCTGGGGAGTCCCCACACCCCTAATTGTGTTAGGAATCATTCTATTGGACAGAGCCTACCCCACACCCAAATTGGCTGTTAATGGAGAGCTATCTGTTAGCGGAACCCGCCCCACATTCCAAATTATCTAGAGAACTAGGTGTGTCAACTCCTAGTTGTGACTTCCTGGCCTACGTGACCTGACCGAACATAACCTCCTGGCCTACGTGACCAACGTGAACCACGTGACCAATGTGAATCATGGGACAAGAGTCCAGGCCCCTGTGCCCACCCCCCCAATTCCTTATCCTATATAAACTGTAATCCTGTCTCTAATAAACGGAGGCTTCGACAAATTTGCCTAGCCTTCTTCCTCTTTCCAGATAGTGCCTCTCAGTGACCCTGGAATAACTGACTGCAGGATGGGTTACAACCCCTAGACTAAGTAACCCACCCAAAGCGGTTTACATATATCTTCATTGGACTTGCTGCATTCTTGGTTAGTGTCAGTGTATCCCCATATCTGACGCTTATGGCCTTTGGGTTAACAGATCCCAAGTCCTGTCTAAGAGAACTCCAGAGTCGAATTGCTTTCTTTTTATGTTATCCTATCACCCAGATCTGAGACTGCTTAGAGTCTGAACCCAGAGCTACAGCCAGAATTTCAGGTCTGGAACTATTTGGAGTCTTAACTATAAAATCCAGAGTGTATCCAAGATGGAGAACCAAAGAGTGCTTCACAATACTACAGTTTTGGTAACAGTAATGTAAGAACCAAACATCCTCTCAACAAAGGCAAGGTTAGATATCTACATCAAGAAACATCACAAACATAACTTCAGATATCGAGATCCCAGTGAGAAAATATAAATATGAGCAAGCAAGACAATATCTCTGTAATACTGAGTTGAAAGCATAACTCCAGCCCCTAGCCTGGGAGTTATTTTGGTCTGAACTCCAACTCCCAGTCTAGCAAGAGCTGACCCCTCACCAGGGAGAACAAGGACCACTCCTACAGAATATTTAGGCTCACAATGGAAAAAGGAACATGTGGTCTCCAGGGTCTGCATGGGCCCCTCTCCCCACCATGCTGTCCTGGTCCACCCAGGAGTACACCATTTATTAAACATGGGCATTATAATTTGGTCTAATCTAGTCTGATTGAAATTATTTTGCATTGGTGGAGGGGCTCTTAGAAATATTCCCAACAATGTCTCCTCCAAAAGCCAATGACCCTAGTGTAATATGGCCAGAGAAAAACAACTTAGCTGAAGCACAAAGCATGAACTTACATTGCAATTACAAATATATTCAAGAACCTTAAAAAAAAGTATAAATAATTTCCTCAGTGAAGATCATAGTAACTCAAACAGTTTAATGAAATAAGGAAAATAATTAAAGTTAAGCAAATAGAATTTAACAAAGAACTAGAAACACTAAAGAAAAGGCAAACTAAAATAAAAGTCAAAACAAAAAAAAAAACCTCAGGAAGTTAACAAAATCTCAGAGGTAAGTTTCATTAACATATTGAAGAACTGGAAGAGAGAATGTCAGGTTTTGATGACACAGAAGAATGAACAGCTCTGTCAAAGAAATGTAAAACTCAAATAAACAAAAATTCAATACAAAACATCCAGAAAATCTGGGATACTCTTAAAATTCCAAAACATGAGTAACAGGTATAAAAAAAGAAAAAATCCAGATCAGATACACAGAAGATATTTTTTACAAGAGTCACAGAAGAAAAAATCCAAAATCAGAAAAGAAAAATGCCTATCAAGATGACAAGGCATGTAGACACCAAATAGAAAGAACCAGAAGAGAAACTCCGGTGACACATAATAACCAAACACTAAGTGCACATAACAAAGAAAGACTACTAAAACATGAAAGGGGAAAAGAAAGACCAAGTCACATTTTGAAAAGATATAATATGCAAGAGGAAAAGACGAAGTCACATTTAAAGGCAATGATCATTAAAATAATTCCTGAATTTTCTAAGAGACTCCAAAACCTGAAAGGGCCAGGATGGATCAAAGGACAAAAATGCCAAACTAGACCAAGCAAATATATCAACCATAATTGAAGGAGAAATAAAAATATTTCATGACAAGATAAATTTAAATTATTTGTGTTTGTCAGTATAGTAGAATATATTAGATGTAAAACTTCAGTCTCCAGAGAAGGTTAGCTACAACTAAGAGAAAAAAAAGAATAAGTAATTCCAGAATAGTTTATCAAGTGTGGGGAAAACACACCATAACAAAAATAATGATAGTGGTTAATAAACCTTGTTCAGTAATAGTTCTCCATATTAATGGTCTCAATTTCCCAAAAAAGACAAAGACTGTATTAGAAAGCAAGGTCCATCTTTGTGCTACATTCGAGAATCACAAGTTAACATCAAGGGCAAACATCATCTTGGGGTAAAAGAACAGAAAAAAAAAATCCCAGAAAACAGAATCAAGCGAAGAGGTATAGCTTTGTTAATATTTGAATATTCTTTTAAAGAAAACTAGTTAGAAGAGATAGGGAAGGTTATTACATGCTCATTGAAGGAAAATCCCACCAAGGTGATATTGTATTCTCACACTAAACTCAATTTCATAAAAGAAATACGAATACATCTATAACTGTATATTGAACTGAACACAGTGATAGTGGGTAACTTCAATAACCCAACTTACCACAGAAAAACTAAACAGATAAATGCTGGGATTAAATAATATCATAAATAAAAGAGATCTAGCAGACATCTACAGACAATTCCACCCAAACACTAAATAATACACTTTCTTCTCAGTTACCTATGAAACTTTCTCCAAAATGTCCATGTTAGGACATGAAGCACGTGTTAACAGATTTGGAAAATAGAAATAACACCCTGCATCTTATCTGACCAGCATGGGTTAAAGCTAAATGTGAATAATGACAGCAAATAAATAAACTCATGGAAACTGAACAGCCTCCTACTAACAGAAAATTGGGTCAAGAAGGAAAAAAGATATTTTAGACTTGAGAGAAAATGAAAACAGAATGTACTCAAAACTATGGAGCATAATGAAGGCAAGTTCATGGCACATGACGCTTACATAAAAAACAAAAACAAACTTTGGAAAGTAAAATGGTGAGACATTAATAATTTGAAAACACACTTGTAAACTCTAGGAAAACAAAAAGAAACAACATTCTCAAAAGCAAATGAGAAAAAAACAATCAAACCCTGAGTTGAAATGAATAAAGCAGAAACAGTCAATAAAAAGGTCAATGTAACAAAGAATGGGTTCTTTAATAATTAGTACAAAGGGCAATGGAACAAAGAATGGGTTTCTTTAGAGAAAATCAACAAGATTGAAAAACTATTAGCCAAATAAACAAAAGAGAGAAGATGTGGTATCTACTTTAATATTTATGACTACTAAAGTTAAATCAAGATGAAGTAAACAGGCTGCATTGTGGTGGTACATGTCTTTAAATCCCAGCACTTGGGAGGCAGAGAAAGGTGGATCTCTGTGAGTTCAAAGCCAGCCTGGTCTATGAGAGCTACTTCCAGGACAAGCTTTAAACAATTTAAACAGACCTTTAGCTCCCAGTAGAACAGAAACTGTAATTTAAAATCTCTCAACCAAAAAAAGGCACAGAAATCTACCAGAGATTAAAAGATGAATACTAACACTCTGCAAATTATTCCACAAAATGGAAAGTGAAGGAACATTTCCAGTTTCTTTTTCTTATGAAGCCACTATTACTGATATCAAAATTACACAATCACTAAAAGAAATGATAAACCAATATCCCTTATGAACATATATGCAAAATTCCCAAGAAAATACTTGCAAACAAATTCAAGAATGCATGAAAAAGATTACTCACCATGATCACTTGGCTTCATGTTAATGTACAGGGATGGTTCAAATATGTAAATCAATAAATGTGACCTACCACACAAACAGACAAAAATATAAATAAATAAATAAATAAATAAATAAATAAATAAATAAATAAGTAAATAAAGGAAAGGAAGAGACCATGATTGTCTCACAAGATATAAAGAAGGCATTTTGAAAAATTTTGAATATCCCATTATGTCAATAATCCTATAGAAACTAGAGACATGAAAAACATACCTCATCATATTAAGGGCAGTTTAGAGGAAACCCACAGTTGCTGCATCACCCAAAATGGACAGAAACTCAAATTATTTCCACTAAAATCAGGCTCGAGACAAGGATGTCCCTCTCCCCATACCTGTTCAATATGGTACTTAAGGTCCTAGGTAGACAAGGATGTCCCTATCCCCGTACCTGTTCAATGTGGTACTTAAGGTCCTAGGTAGAGCAATAAGAGCTCAAGGGGATATGGACAGTAAAGGGAATAGTCACATCATTTTTATTTGCAGATTATTTGATTATTTGAGTTTGTAAATGAAAACTCCTAAAGACTCTACCAGGAAACTTCTCCAGCTGATGAACACTTTCTGTAAGTGACAGGATACAAAATAAACCCATAAGAATCAATAGTCTGCCCAATAGTAATGACTCAGATTGAGAAAAAAATCAAGAAGATCATTCCTTTCAGAATAGCCTCAAAAATATCCTTGAATAACCCTAAGCAGGCAAGAGAAAGATGTTGTAAAGAGGCCGCTTGGTTTTTCCTGCTGCTCGGCAGCTCAGACCTGAAATAACCACACAAATACTATATTATTTAAAACACTGTTTGGCCCATTAGCTTTAGCTTCTTATTGACTAACACTTATATCTTAATTTAACCCATTTCTAGTAATCTGTGAATTGCCATGTGGCTGTGGCTTGCCAGGTAAAGTTCCCAGCGTCTGTCTCTGGCGAGGCTACATGGCTTCTCCCGACTCTGCCTCCTTTCTCACAGCATGCCATTTAGTTTTCCCTGTCTACCTAAGTTCTGTCCTATCAACAGGCAAGGCACTTTCTTTTTTTACGAATGGTATTCACAAGCATACAGACTGGAATCCCACATCAGAAAGATTTTTATAATGGAAACCTTAAGGAGCTTAAGAGAGAAATTGAAGAATTAATACTGTAAAAATGACCATCCTACCAAAATCAGTCAACTGACTCAGTATTACAACAAAATTCTTCATAAAAATTGAAAGAAACAATCACAAACTTTATATGGAAACCCAAATAGATCAAAATTCCTAAAACAATCCTGAATTATAAAAGATCTTCTGGAGATATTGGTGTCCCAGAATTCAAGCTAGCTTACAGGGCTACAGCAATAAAGCAATATATAATTGGAAACAATATATTTTAACTTAAGACAGTAGGTTTGATTTCATGTACAGCGTGGCAAGTCAGCTTCATGCACTGTGGTATCTGAGTCCTCTTTGGACATCAGTTAATGTTTAGAAAGAAATATCTCATGGTTTCCAATTGTCAAAAATTTTGTAGATGATGTATGTATGAGCGGTGGAGGCCAGAGGTAGAAGTTAGGGATCTTCCCTGAACACATTCCACTCACTCTTCTGAGACAGCCTTTTTCTGAGCCCAGAGCTCTGGGATCTACCTCTTTCTGCCCAGTGCTCTGGTTACAAGTTTGTGGCACCATACCTGGCTTTTCTGTGTGTTCTGGGGATCAAAATCAGGTCCTCAAGCTTGCACAGCAGGATTTTACTGTCTCAGCTCCTGTTTTCACACTTTTGAGTAGGGGTAGAGTGGTAGACAGGGTTTCACTGTGCATCCTTGGCTGTCCTGGAACTCGCTCTGTAGAGCAGGCTGGCCTCAAATCCACAGAGATCCACCTGCCTCTGCCTCCCGAGTGCTGGGATTAAAGGCGTGTGCCACCACCACCTGGCTTTGCTCTCACATCTTTATGAGAGTTTTTACCAGTTTCCAACCACACAACAGATAATGAATAAATGACTTATAAGTTTTTTTTCACCCCCTGACTAAACTGCAGAAAAGTTCTTGAGAATATTGTCTCAGTTTTGTTTTTTGTTTTTTGTTTTTTTTTTGGTTTTTCGAGACAGGGTTTCTCTGTGGTTTTGGAGCCTGTCCTGGAACTAGCTCTTGTAGACCAGGCTGGTCTCGAACTCACAGAGATCTGCCTGCCTCTGCCTCCCGAGTGCTGGGATTAAAGGCGTGCGCCACCACCGCCCGGCTTGTCTCAGTTTTCAGACTAGGATACAGGTAAAAAATGTGTTTATTAAAGTGAATAATACATACACCTGTTTATTTCTTCATCCCATTATATTGTAAATAGCAAGGGAGTCTATAGGCATTGTCTCTTGAACTGTTCATTAAAAACTTCAGCCCATACAGGAGTAAACCCCGCCCCAGTCATTCCAGTGAATTGATGTAATTTTAATGCCCATCTTCGTGATTGTTTTCTAAGAAATCAATAACAAAATGCCTTCCTGATGTGTCCCAAATGTCTTCTTTTCACCGTGAGGAGCCCTCTCAGGAGGGCTGTGACTCCTGCCTCTGTGACATGCTTCCTAAAGTTAAGTCTCAGAGCTTGAGAGAAAATTGAGTTCTCTGTCACCAATGCTGCACACAGGACAATACTTCACTCTTTGCAGATTTTATTTGGATGGCTACAAATAATATGTGAATTCTCATAGCTCCATACTCTGCATCTCCCTCTGCTTGCTGTGGCACTCTAGAAATGCTGATAAACTGCCTGAGTGCCCTTCAATTAAAAAAAAGAAAGAAAGAAAGAAAGAAAGAAAGAAAGAAAGAAATTGATCCATGGTGATCACTGGTAGGAATATGGACCATGAGATGAGAGGATGTCTTTCCCACCCAGGCTGCTAGAATGCACTATTCAAGGTCAATTTTTTTTGCTGGTGATTTCTCTGGATACAGTATGCTTCCTTTGAGGTTCTTGCAACATCTCTAACCCTTGCTCCATCAAAACCAAAGGCCTGACTTGCAGAACTATGTAACTCATGCCAGAATTCTTCCTGGTTCTTCATATCTTTGTCTGCTTTTTTAAAATTGCCCCACTATTAAACTAGATTTAATTACCTCTTGCAAATCAACACTCATTTTCCTGCTGAAACCTTATATGTTGGTACCAAGACTGGATGGTTCTCTACAAATGGCGTCTTTCTGGTGAAGGAAGAAGGGATGTGGAAAGAGATGATCAGAATTCTAGTGTGCTTATGAAACAGAATATAAAGCAGCAGGAAACAATGCAGATGACAGAGCTGGAAGACCTTGAGGTTCCTTTGGCAGCTGAGGCAATATGGTGACCATGGTGATGGAGGAGAGGCTTAGTTGGCATTCCACTTCTTGTTTTACATTAGCTGAAACACAAAGCAATGAACACCCTAAGGCTCTTAATGTTCACTTTAGAACAATACATGGAAGGCCCCTGGGTATTTTTTGTGACTGCAGATTTGTCCATGGGTCTAAATAAGAGGGCTGTGTTCAACACCCATCTTCTCATAAATGGAAAGAAAATTGAGACAAGAATGCAAAGCTCAATGCATTTTATCCAACATACAAGAGAAAACAAGCCTTGGATGTGTAAACCTTACTGAATTCCCTTGTTAACTAGAACAGTGCTCGTGTCCTTCATGCACCTGAACTCATGTGGAGGTCTAGATGCCAGTGGAGTATGTACAGGAAACAAGGCCTGTTCATGTCAGGCAAGCTCCTCGAAAGAAAGACTTAAAGACCTTGCCAGACAAACTCTTGTAGATTCTGTGTTCACATATTGAACATGGACTTTTTGTTCCTTTTTTTTTCGGTATAAGACACTGAACGTCAGATCTGAAATGTTGGTAGTGCTGCCCTCACATCCTGTCCGTGTTCTCTCACAATGAAGAGAGTGCTTCAAGCTCAGATGAGGGCATGCACCTGTAGTCTCAGCACTGAGTAGCCTGAATTAAGGAGATTGATGTGAATTCTAGTCCAGCTGGGGTACCTAATGAGTACCAGGCTCCATATAAAAACCGTGTTGTTTTGAAACAAGATGAAGAATGTAGAAGTAGAGAGAAAGAGCTGCGGAGTAGTGTGATGAAAGCATCTTTAATGACTCGAAGAAAACCTAAAATTCAGGGATGTGAATTATAGGATGCAGCATACGCACTAGACACAAAAATACAGCATACAATGTGCATAAAATATAGAAATCTACGTAGCTCTTAGCATTACCGCTCTCATCTCCATTGAGAAATATTTTCTCCCATGCCTTCATCTTTAGGTTCAGAAAATTGGAAACCTCCAAAAAATTAAGGAATTTACATCCCGGTCTGGTAAAATTATCCAAGAACATTGTCATGGGCAAGAGACGAGACAGAGAAGAAAGTCATTGGATTAGCTCATGCATTCAGGGTTTGCACAACTGAAGTCAGGACTGTGAGATAGGAAATACCTGAACCATGCTGAAAACACTGAGGAGCTTCTTTATATCTTGTTCCTGACAGTTCTGGATGGAAAAAAAATATTTTCATAGAGGAAGCCACAGAAGATTCATAAGAAGATGAAAAGAAAACCTACTCTCCCTTTTTTTCCCTCTGATCTCTTTTGTAAACATATCATTCACAGTACTCAAAATACCCTTTTGTACAGATGTCCTTTCTGTCTTCAATGCTGAGGATGGATTAAACTTGACTCACAGGAAGCAAACATTTCGCCATTCCGCTGCATCCCCTAGTCTTCCATCTCTTTCCTAAAGAGACCAGAAACTATATTCTTCTTCTTCTTTCTAAATAAATAAATGTTAGGGACGGGTCCTGATTCCACTGCAAGTAGTCCCACAAATAGACCAAGCTACAAAACTGTCACACAGATGTAGGGGCCTACATAGGTTTCATTTTAAGCTCCTTCGCTCTTGATCCAGAATCTGTGAGCTCCTGTGAGCCCAGGTTAGTTGTTTCTGTGGTTTCCTTTTGATGATCTTCACACACACACACACACACACACACACACACACACACACACCGCT